ACTGAATATATATTACTTACTAGATAATATATATTCAGCGAGTGTAGATATCTAGTTTGAAAATTGAATTTATAAATCAGTATGCTTATCCCTGAAACATACTTCTAACTTTAAACTCCTGGCAAAAAAATTTTTTTTTATAATTCTGCACTGAATGTCAGACCTCTGAAAGAAAAATAAAATCCACATGGTCAAAACTCAGAATTCTTTAATAAAGATGAGAGGTAAATAATTTAACTTTGCCTGAAGGAATTTGTTCCTTTCTTTTTTTCCCTTCAAACCATTCTGATCTCTCAGAATTTTTTGAAGTTGAAGAATTTGTTATCTATGTCGTATTTGAGGATTTGTACTAATGAGTGGAAGCTGATAGAAACTGTGGAAAAACAAATTTTCATTTGTTAAAGTCAGTTGCAGTGCTTCTGTTAACAGCAATACTAAATAACTATGACACAGGCAATTGGGTCTGAGACAGAACAAAGATGTGAACAAATGGGGATTGTTACATTCTCACAGCTAGAGAGCTCTGTTGGTGTATCCTGTAGAGCTCCTAACCCAAAGGCTGTGCCTCTCTTGTGGTTCAAATCCACCAGCACCTTTACAGGAGAAAGAGAAACAATCTCCTCGTGTGCAATGTACACTTTGTGAAACCCAATGTAGAGTTAGCTTTGAGCAAATATAGACAGTAGTGAATGAGAATATCAGAAAAACGTGGGTATGTAATTTACCTACACAGAACAGCCTACAATTAAATATAACAGTATAAATGATTCTTGCATTTTTTCACGGGACATCAGATTAGATGTCTAGAATGATGTGTAATCATAGGGGCACCAGATTTCCTGTAGAATATTTGTTCAGCATTTTACTCATTATTGTACTGTTCAGTCTCATATTAGAAATAGGGCTATTAGAATAATCATCCACTAAAAAATTATAGCCTTGAAGCTATCTAAGTTTTCTAGTAGATTTCTTTCCTTGTGGAAATGTTTTCCATTCTTTTGTTTGTAATGTCAAACACATTTCATAACAAACACTCAAAAATCTACATAAAATGGGTAGATGAATAGATCGATGAGTGAATAAATTCACATGAAGTTTTCAAGGGTTATTAGAACTTTTTAACTACTTAACAAAATTCTATTTAACTTGTCAGGAATCAAGATTATAAGGATTAACAGCTGTTTATTGAAATACATTTCAGAACTCTTTTGACAGAAAATATATGTATAAATGTAAGGAATCATTCTATTTTAGTATTCCTTAGAAATTGTAAAAGTAAAGAAGCATATAGCACTTACATATATATACACCAAGCTCTGCTACAGATACTTTAATTGCATTCAATCATATAACTCTTAACATCACATTGTTGTTGTTGTTATTACATACAGTCGCGTCAGTGAGTTGTCAGAGCCAGTTAATCACACAGGAGGAGATTTCCCATCTTTCTCCCACACAACAACTAGTGGATTAAACCATGTGTCCTTGGAAATTACAGCACAGCTTCTTAACACTAGGCCACCAGTGATATATTGAGTTATTGGTGCCATTTAACAGATTCCATGTATCTCTGTGTATTTCTTCTGAAATGTGATGGAATATACTACAATAGTCTGAGGTCCAGACCTTAAAACTGGATTGAGAATTGCTGATTGTGTAACTGAATTGGAACAAACTGAACACACAGTATAGACTTGGATTCAGCAGGAACCAAAAGAGTAAATGGTTAAAGTCCTAATTATTACATCAAGGAATCATTAAATTACAATGATACTTGAAATGTTTTCATTACCATTGACCATTGTACAGATTACTTGTAATGTGTTAGTAAATCTTTGTCATTATAGCAACAGTTTAAGAGTTTTAGTGCTAACCAAAAAAAGCAAACCTACTAGACAGTTCATAGGAAAAAGATGAGAAAATCTATCTCAATACAGTTATAAAAACCTGAAGTTCCTGAGACAGTTTTACTCTATCCTACAATATCACTATGAAAGGACATGATGGTAGGAAGGTTTTTGGCTTAGTTAAGCTAAAATTTGGTTTCATCCTCTTCAAGACAGACCTACTTGTTTTATTGGCAGTCCAATGGTATGTTCAAGACTTCTCCAGCACCACAAATAGATGGCATCTATACTTCTTCTGTCATCCTTAGTTATTGTCTAGCTCTTTGAAGTATAGCAAGTAATTGAGAAAGTCATGGCCTGGATTAGGCACATCTTTGTATCTAGACTGACATCGTTGCTCTTCAGCACTCTGGACAGATCCATGACAGCATATTTTCCTAAGGCAATTCATATTTTGATTTCCTGACTATGGATATTAAGAGTGTTGATTGTGGATCTAAGCACGCTGTAATTGCTAACAATCTCAATCTCTTCTCCACCTATTATGGTACTCCCAATTGGCCCAGTGGTGAGAATCTTTGTCTTCTTGATGTTCAGCTCCAATCCATATTGAACGACTACAGTGTTTGACCATTTGCAGCAAGTGCTTCAATTCTTTTTCAGTTTCAGAAAGCAAGGTTGTGTCATCTGCATATTATAGTCTGTTAATGAGTCTCCCTCCAATCTTGATGCCACACACCTTCTCATAAAGTCTTGCTTCTTGAATAATCTATTCTGCATAAAGACTGAATAGGTATGCAGAAAGGATGCATACCTGACACATTTTTGCACGTGGTCAGGAGAGATGTTTAGAGAAGGACATCATACTAGGAAGGGTGGAGAGACACACAGGAGAGGGAGATCCTGGATGAGATGGACTGATACAGTAACTAGGGCAATGGGTTGGTGTGTCAGAATTAGTGAGACTGCTAAGGACAGGGAAGAGTTCAGAACTGCTGTACATAGGGCTCCATGCATCGCAGGTGACTCAACCAATAACATACTATGATAGGTTTGGAAGCAGGAGTGGCGTCCTCTTCCTAAACAACTTGCCACAGGATGCCGAAAGTTCTGGGGGGGCTTTAGGCCTTTAGTTCATAGGGTCACTATGAGTAATGCTCAACTTGAAGGTTATCAAAGCAACAAGAAGTTAATATTTATATAGGTTTTGCATAAGAACAATCAAGTGTTCTGGGGTTTCCATTTTTTTCAGAGTTAACCACAGTTTGTAGTGATCCATACAATAAAACACCTTTGTGTAGTCAATGAAGCACAGATAAACAGTCTTCTGGTACTCTCTGCTTTCAGCTAAGAGCCAATTAACATTAGCTATAATATCCCTGGTAACATGGCCTTTTCTAAACCCAGCTTTCCCTTCTGGCAGTTGTCTGTCTATGTGCTGTTCCAGATGTATTTGGATAATTTTCAGCAGAATTCTGCTTGCATGTATTGTTCAGTAATTTCCACACCCTGTCAGATCACCTTCCAGCCAGGTGATTGTCCTGAAGACTTCTTGGCACAACTTGGTGAGCACATCCATGGAAGCATCTGTTTGTTGAAATATGTCAATTGGCATGTCATTAATTCCCAGGGCCTTGTTTTTTTTGTTTTGTTTTTTTTTTTTTGCCAATTCTTTCAGAGCAGGAGGCTCCGACTATTTCTACCAGGAGGCACTCATCAGAAGAGAGCAAAGAAACACTGCATGGTTCAAAATTGGGAAGCATATAGGCCAGGGATGTGTCTATCTCCATACCTTTTAAATTTATACACAGAACAGATCTTTCAGGAGGCTGGGTTCTATGAGAAGGAATGTGTTATTGAAATTGGAGGAAGAATCATCAACAACGTGCATTATGCAGATGACACAACCCTCCTTGCTGAAACTGTGAAGGACGTGATGAGCTTGCTGCAAAAGGTCAAGGACTGCAGCCTTCAATGCGGTTTGATGCTCAGCGTCAAGAAAACAAAGATTCTAAACACTGGGCAGTTTGGCAGCATCATGATAGATGGTGAAGATATTTAGATCGTTAATAGTTTCAGTTTGCTTGACTTCACAATCAATACTCTTGGTACCAGCAGCCAGGAAATGGAAAGACTAATTGCCCTGGGAAAGTTTGCTGTCAGGGACCTCTCCAGAATACTGAAGAACTATGACGTTAGTCTGAAGACTAAGGTGCCCGTGATCCAGACTACAGTCTTTGCAATTACTTGCTTTGTGTCAGAAAGCTGGACAATGACTAGGGATGATAGGAGGATAATTGATGCCTTTGAACTGTGGTGCTGGAAAAGAGTATTGAATATACCACAGGAAAACAAGCAGGTTTGTCTTCGAGAGGGTGAAGCCGGGCTGCTCTTTAGAGGTAAGGGTTCTGAAGCTTCGTGTGACATTCTTTGGACATGTTGCAAAGAGGGACCAGTCTTTGGAAAGGGACATCATGCTTGGGAGGATGGAGGGACAGCACAGGAGAGGAATACCCTTGCTGAGACTGACTGATCCAGTGACTGGAAAAATGGGGGAAATTGTGTCAGAAACAATTAAGTTGGCACAGGATAGAGTAAGGTTTAAGGCTGTTGTACCTTGTGTCACTATGAATTGCAAGTGACTCGATGTCACTTAACCACAGCAGCAACAAGCTGAGTTTTAATATGTGTAGTTTATGATTTTCTTTTGTTCTAGTTAAGAATTATATGAAAGTGGTGCAATTTTTTTTTGTTTTCTGTGATAACTTAAAATACAATAAGTATTATAGAAGTTAAGATTTATGCCTTATTTTTGACCTGATAATTTACTGTATCTCTAGTCAGAACTTCTTGTTTTAGACAGACTAAATAAACTAGAAATGTATTTGTATACAACTAACCACTTTAATGTTACTGTGTCCCAAAAGATGTATTTTTTCCCACAAGAGAATATTTTCATTACTTTTTAGCTAATAAGATACAAGTAAAATGAATGAAGAGTTTGAAGAAAATTAATACATTTTTGTGTTCTCTAAATAACAAAGTCAGTTACCAATGACGTGTACAGGACACTAAAGGAGCTACCAAGTATCACAGCTCTAGCCAAAAAAAAAAAAATAAATACTCCCAATAGAAAGAATTATTATGTATTACCTGAATAACCTTCTGGGACTGCACATCAACAATAAGAACTCTGTCCAATGTAGGCTGAGCAACATAAATAAACTTGTCTTTGACATTCACTGCTGAGGCCCACACACACCTCTGAACTTCATCTCCATCAGTCTTAGGACACACTTCATCCTAAAATTTAAGAAATAAGAAATACATTAAAATTTAAAATTTTAATTATAACACAGATTTTATAATATCAAGTATAAAAACTAATTACTGAAGCTTTACTACTTTTGGCATCAAGACAAACAATAAATAGAGGTTTAATTACATCAAATAACAGAGTATATTTTGAGTCATGAGATGGGACTAACAATCAGTGTGAAGGAGATCACTTTAAAATTCCTTTCTTCCAGGCTATATTTTTCTAGTAGAATATAGTCCATTCATTAAAAAATAATCCATACGTACCTAAATGAACATTTTAAATATCTAGTATTATCTTTAAAATGTCTTAGCTCCTAAGTTTCTTTTGTTGATGTTTTGTTGCGCATGTATTGTCAAGTTGAAACAGACTCACAGCAGACCCTCCAGTGGATTTTCTGAGGCAGTTAATCTCAAGGGAAGAGATTGCCCGTCCTTCTCTGGTGGAGCAGCTGGTGGGATTGAAACTCTGTGCCTTTGGGATTGCAATGTAGCTTCTTCTGCCACTAGGCTACTAGATCTCCTTTTACAAAGTGAAAATTTTACACTGAAGTATATTTATTTTCCCTAAATACTGGAAACTTCCCTCTGACAAAACTATAATTTTAAAATATCTAAATATTTTTGTCAAAATCCATGGAAAAATTATTAAATAAAATCTCTAAAGTTTGAACAATTAGAAATTTTAACAAATTGATCAACAACAAATTATTCAATGCTTTTGCTTCTGTTTCCCCCAACTCAGTATTTAGTATCAATTTACTTAAAATTAATAAAACCTTTTAATCTACTGAAGATTTATTTTCAAATTTGTTAACTTTTGAACAGCCTTCAAGTTAAAAACTGTGGAGTTTGTGCCACATTTTCACAAAATAACAAAAGTATATTCTATTTGTTCTTTTGCTGAGTGTTGAAAGACAAGTAAGCCTTTGGGATTTATGCTGGCAGACACTTCATATGTAAAAATAAATGATAAATACCACTTAGTTCAATATTTTGTTCTGTTTTAAGATTTTTTTTTTACCCTTACTGGTATACTGGCTAATGGATTGACTCAATTTGTTCTCAGAAAATGACACAGTGAAAGATTTGCTAATTATATATAAAATGTATGTACAGGGAAAAACATTTTTTAAATAATGTTCCACAGATATGTATATAGTGCAATATTTTTTTAAAAATCGACAACTGATGTTTAATTTTTTATAGATTTGAACATTTCAGTAACTATCTTCAAAGCTAAATTAGAATACCCTCTTTGTTATCTACTTCACATGAAAACATTTTCTTTATAGCAGCAATCCAATTCACCATATTACTTAAGAAGCAAGAAATAAAATCAACAAAACATATTGTCAGCACCATGACAGTTATTTTATTAGAGATGACAGTAGATACAATTTTGTATTTTACATTAAGTCACTAAACTTAATTGATAAACCTAAACAATGTGCTTCTTACGTGTGGTAGGTAGCACAAGTATTTTTTTTTATTTTTTTAAGATAAGAAAAATGTAAAGTGATATTAAAATTGGAACACATGCTTTAGTCAATAGTCAAATGATTATATTCTCCAAATGTACCTATAACTTAAAAAGGGCTTATAATACTCATTCAAATTTAAAATTTAGTCCAGCAATTACTAGGTTCAGTCAAAAGCAAGAAACTGAATGGTACGATATTAATTTTAGTAGCAAAAAGCTTCACTGTAATCATGAAGGAATAGGGCAATCTCCTCCTGTATCTCTGAAAACCTCTGGAGGGTCAATGGTGGGTTGGTTCTGACTCCATGGTACACAATAACAACCACCAACAACAGTACTAAGCTGGGTGTTGTCAGGAGGATATGAAAGTAGAAATGTGTCCTCAGGAAAACCCAAAATGGAGTAATATCCTATAAAATAATATTCTGTATCAAAAATCTTTATTTAGTATTAGATTCTTTCACAAGAATCTATTTTTTAAGAAACTAAGTACACAAAGTATGTACTTCACAGAACTGGAGAAGTAGAAAATGAGGTTGATGAAAGGCTATGAATATAGGAAAATTATTTATAGAATATTTGCTGTTGTGTAAAAGCTACCAACAAAATCTGCCAAAACAATGGAAAGTGTTAGTGACCTGACACGTAACTGTCATCCAAATAACAGCTAAACCAGGAGCAATTTCCACCCCTTGTTTGCTACAAAACTATTCAACAGGAAAATAAACTGCTCTGTAGGGAATTATTTTCTATTTGTATGCTGTCCCCATAAAACATCTCTGACCAGACTTCCAATCATTTTTACAAAGCCATTAAAAGTTTCCTGACAGGCACTCTGAAATTTTTTTCCTTCACTTTATGTCATTATTTCTGATTATTGTCTATTAGGTCCCGTTTTGTAATAACATTTTTAGTTTTTTGAGATTACATAGATTTAATATTTATTTTAGGACAAGAGATTTGTAGAGGAGTGCTTTTTTTACATGCATTAAACATTTAAAGATATAAAAGAAATGCTAAAAAAATGTGAGATGCAAAATAAGATTAAGATGATATATTATGATAAACTTTCCAGAGACTTATCAAAGAATATGATTAAATCAATTTTAAATATATAGTAATATTCATAATAAAGGAAATGAATAACATAATAGAACTAATTATTATAAAGGTCAATATGAAAAATACAATTCTAGTTAATAATTATCTCATTTTCTCCAGATACATTTTATATTTAATCACATTTTTTCTGATTCTCCTTACAAACTTTTAGAGGAATAAAAGATGTATTGTTAAAATGCTGCATGTTTTAATTCAGAAAATAAAGTTATGTCAGTGAAGTCCTTGCCTCTAGTGGGCATTCTGGCTGTACTTTGACTGAGGTAGATTCGTTTGTCTTTTTGGTAGTCCATGACATAATCAGTATTTCTTGTCAACATCACAGTTCAAAGACATGAATTACTCTTTAGTCTTCCATATTCATTGTCTAACATTTAGAAGCACAGGAAACAAAAATATCCTCACTTAAGTTATTTGCACTTTGGTGTTTAATTTGAGATCTTTTCTTAGTTAAGGTCAGAAAAATAGGGAGTAAAACAACAAATAATGTTGTTATTATGTACCATTGAGTCACCTGCAACTCATAGAGACCTTAAACAGCCCTAAACCCTGCTCGATCCTGTAACAAAGAATAAAAGTGCAAAATACAATTTTAAATAGACAAAATTTGTAAGTTTCTATGTAGAATGGAAAAAGCTGATAGTGTAATAATTTAGCTTTGGGCCACTATTCATAAAGGTACACAGTTGAATACAACAGCATCTCAGGAGGAGAAACCTAACTTGATTCCCATTAAGCATTACAGCCTTGGAAATATGATAGAAAATCTGTTAGAATTGGAATTAGATAGAGGACAGATTGTTTGGTTCTTTATATATGTAAAACAGAAATGAAATTTCTATGTAATATGTTATTATTATCTTTTACGTGGATTTCATTACTTATGAGAAAATAAACATAGGATGGTATGGAATAGAACATTAAAACACAGGCTAACTAATCAGCAATCGTGCAAGATTTCCCAATATAAAAAAAACCAATAAATTCATAAATATATGGTATTCTGAACCATTTTCCTCACAAAAATATTAAGAAACTAATCACCATTAGAATTAAGAATTGCTAGGTCAACAGACAAAGTGTGCTAGAGCCCTATAGCGGACAACATTGTGTTTTCACTGGAGTCCTGTAATTAGCAGTAAATTAATCAAGTACTCAATTTCTAACCAAAAAAGTTAGCCATTCATACCCACCCAAAGATGCCTGAAAAGAGCCTTTCAATTCTCGAAAGTTCCAGTCTTAAAGTCACTAAGAATGGCTGTTGTACAGGAGTCAGACTTGGTTTGGTTGGTGGAATAACTCAAAAACTAGTATGCACACACATCTAGAGACTGAGTACAAACTTGAGTTGAGTTAAAAAGAGAAGAAAGTAACTACACATTTTTCTCTCACAAAGCATTTAGTGGATTCACACATTTTTAAAACTTCTTTTGTTCGTAAATCATTTTTTTTAATATACTGGCTTTTTTACAAAATTTGAATTGTTTTACAGACTGGATTTTTTCCCATTCCTTTCACCACCACCCCCATCAAATTGTGCAACCCTATGATTACCCCCTTGCCCATTCTCACTCATCTGCTTCCACCCTCAACCCCTTCTTGACTCCTCATACTCATTCTTCAATAATGGATTTATGCAGTATTTTTTCTTATGGGACTGAGTTAGCTCACTCAGTATAATGCTTTCCAGTCCCTCCCAAATTAGGTAGTGATTTATAAAATTACTGTGCTGCATGAATGCACCATAATTTCTCAATGTATTCAATCGTGGTTGGACAACTGGACAGTTTCCATGTTCGTGTGATGGTTAGTAACACATGTATGAACATTGCTGTACAAGTCTCCATTTGTTCCTCAGTTCTTATTTTCTTTTGATACTTTCCAAGCAGTGGAATAGCTGGGTGATATGGAATTTCTATGTTCAGTATCAAAGTGCCTTCCAGAGTGGTTGTACCATTTCACAATCTCACCAAGAGTAGTTTCTTCCAATAAATGTTTATGAGCTCAGATACCCAATAGTCATTATGCATTATAAAATATCTTAAGAATACCAGAGAAGTGATGCAGAGAGATAGATATTTATATACCCATGTTCATTGTATCATTATTCACAGTAGTGGAGAGATGGAAGCAGCCTAAATTCCTGTCAACAAACAAATGAATAGAAAATACACAACATAGATGAATCTAGGAGATATGCTGAGTGAACTATCTCAATCACAAAAAGACAAATACTCTAAGAAACTAGAAATGTGATGCAGAGCCATATATATTACATTATTATTCACAATAGCAAAAAAGTAGGCTAGTTTTGATTTCTGATATAGAGCTTCTAATTCTTTTCACAGATATAGTCAATCTAATTCCTGGGCAGTTCATCAGG